GCTGGCGGCCGTTCGAGGCAGCCAAAGGCGCCGGCGGCGGCCGCGCGGCCGCCGCCGTGCAGCGACCTGCCGCTCGGCGGCGAGCCGATGTCGCGGCTGTGTGCGCGGCTGCGCGCGCTGTGCCGCGTCGCGTTGGTGCGGCTGCCGCGGCGCGGGTTCTGCTTCGAGGCCTTCAGCGAGGCGGTGGCGGCCGGCTGCGTTGGTGGATCCGGCGGCGGCGGCGGCGGCGGCGCCGAGGCTTCAGGCCTCGGCTACACCCGCGGCCACGGCGAGGGCAACAGCAACGTTGTTTGCGGGGAGGCGGTTTTCGGGCAGGAGCCCCTGATACTGTCTGCAGAATTAGGGCGCTCGCAGCTGCTGCTGATCGTGTATGGCGGCGCGCTTGTCGCGGAGGAGCAGGCGCCCGCGCCAAGCGGCAGGGCGCGGCGCAGGTGGCAGCTGAGGGTGCGGGGCGGCAGCGGTTGCGGAGATGGCAGCGGCGGCGGCGGCGGGGCCTGGCGGCTCCCCGAGCCCTGCAGCGTGTTCGTGAGCAGCCGTGGCTGCTTTGTGCGCTGCGAGCGGGACATGCTTTGGACGGCATAGCATGGGTCGTCGGCCGCGCAGCGTCAGCCCACTGCCTGATTTTGGGGGTACAGTAGGGGGAACAATCACACCTGTGGTAGTGGGGGTCCCTCAAACGGCTTTTCCGCCCTGACTCAGATAGGGCTGTGTTTTTTTACAGTAATATGTGACCGGCTGGCATTGCGGTGTGGCGTATTGTCAGACCGCCGCTGGGTGAGGGGGAGCGGGGTCCTGGGGGTGATGTCGGCATGGGACGCCGGTCAACGCTCGCGGCAGACCGCACATGACGCAGCACCACCGCAATTGCAACCTGCATCCTGAGCTGACACTCTCACCAAGCTGATGAGCGGCATTCAGGGGCCGCGCCGGGTTTGAGCTACAGCCCTGCCATGTCATGCTTCCATGCTGGCGATGCACGCGGGCGAGGTGCCAGGCAGGTGCCCCCCTTGCCTGCATGCACCATTCGATCGACGGATGGCTACATGAGCCCCTAATTCCAAATGACATAGAGAGATTTGATTCAAATCTCCTATACCTGTGCTTGTCAACATGATGATCTCCAGCTCAACGCGCGCGGTCAGCGTGCAGCAGCAGCGGAGGTAGGGGCAGACAATTGCTTAAGATAGGTTGCTCGATTTCCACCGCCCCTGCGGGCTCGTCTCGATGAGATCCTTGCCATTTTCCGCAGGCCCGCGGCTGTTTCTGCCCGCCCGTCCCGTGGCGCAGTTGTGGTTCGGGCATCCCAGGTGAGGACACCTTGGGCTCGCTCTGGGAGCCAATGAGCATCCACCGAGGGCGCCAGAGTGTGTGGCCCCCCTCCCCTCCCTGATCCAGCATCGACAGCAGCCCTGTGGCAAATGCAATGGCAGCTGACCCTTGCTGCCCCTCAATTTTGGACCCCCAACATGAGGCATTCACCCCCATGCATCGGATTCACATCGCCACCCTCCACCTGGCTGCAGGCGGAGCCCACAGCGTCGCGCCGCCAGGTCGGCGGCACCGCCGCCGCTGTGCTGCTGGCGGGCGCGCTCTCGGCCGCGGCCCCGGCGCAGGCGTTCCTGGGCTTCGGCGGCGACGGCGCGCAGGCGGCTGAGCAGTACACCAAGGACACGGTGCGCGGCAACGGCTGAACCGCTCGCACGTGCGCTGCCCGGAGAGTGGGCGACGCCAGGACATTGCTCCCCGCGCCCCATCACGCATGCAGCACGCATGCAGCATGCGCGGCGCTCCGCTCTCCCCTCCCGACCGCAAATCCCTCGCCAGCCTCCAATTTTACGTTCATTCAGTATCTGCACCCTTCTCCTGACTGCACCAGCAACAAAAGTCACCACCCTTGCCTGCGTGCGCTCATCATGTGCCCCTCCCCTCCTCAAACACACACGCACACATGCACGCACACACACACACACACTCTCTCTCTCACACACGCACACACACACACACACACACACACACACACACACACACTTTGCGCGCAACCACACCAGAACGACGTGCTGCAGCTGGTGAGGGACGCCGTGGCCCTGCCCAGGGACGCGCCCGACCGCGAGGAGCGCGTGGCCGAGGTGCGCAAGGGCATCAACACCTGGGTCGCCAAGTACCGCCGCAACGACAAGTTCGCGGGCAGGCCTTCCTACGGGTGAGGGGCGGTGGTGTTTTATTGGGGTTGGGGGGGGATTGCTT